TATATACTGATTACATTCACTGTGAAGAGTTGGTACATACACAGAACACATCTTAATTCTTGTGATATCCCTCTTCCCCTCTTCCTAAAATATGTTTAAAAGTCAGTCTTACACTCATTCACATCTGTAGCTCATTTTGTGTAGGATTTGAGTGTATTGCTTCCCTTGCCGTTGCTGTTTTGGATGGGTTTATTTAGGATAGTGAGTAAATGAGTTTGGAGATTAAGATATTTAAAACATATAATGAGCAGCTGTGAATTTACCACTAAGCCTCAGGTATAAAATGTCAGAAATATCATTCATCCCATACATCTGCCTTCCCAGAGGTTAATGCAACCATGCATTTGGTGTGTATCTTTTTTTTTTTTTCCGTAGTCCAACTCACGCCCTCACTTTTGCCAGGCAGGCACTGTGCCACTGAGCTATATCCCTGCCCCCATTGGTATGTATTGAGTTTTGTATTTCTTCAAACTTCTGTATCCTCCTGTGTACTCCTGTTTTGTATACTTCAAACTCCTGTTTTTAGTTTGTAGATTTAAGTGAGTCTAAAGCTTGGGTGTAATGGTGTATGCCTATCTAGGCTGAGGCAGGAGGATTGAAAATTTGAGGCCAGTGTTGGCAATTTAAGCCCCACACCCCATAAAAAGCCCAGGGATAGAGGGCCCTCGACTCCATCCCCAGTACTGCAAGAAGCAAAGTTACCTGCACATGTAAATATGTGCTAATAGGAATGACTTTTCTACCTAAAAGTTAACTAACACTGTATGCCTGGTTAAATTTCTAGAAGTCACTCCTTTACAAAAGCACAGAAATACACAGGTGCAAGGAAGGTATGCACACAAGTATAGTTTTACTGGTACAGTAAACAATTTGGAAATAATCTAATCTGCTTAGAATTACGGAAATGTATTGAGTGTAGTGGCTTATAGGTAATGATAAACTTATTGGTTAAGTGAACAGTTCGAAAGTAACCTAAGAGTGCACCATTAGTGAGGAATGTTAAATAAATCTTACACTCTGTAGGAGTCCAAAGGGAATAAGATGTGATGCCTCGTGTGAGCGTTGACAGTACAGTGATTTATGTCTGCAGTGATTCATGTTTTTCAACATAGACTCAAAGCATGTCCAGTTAACTGTTCTAGTTCCTGTCCCTAGTGGCTTTCATGGTCTTTAGGCCGATAGTTGAAGACTTTCCGTCTGTTGTTGGGAGTGTTTATTTATTTGCGGGGGTATTTGGAGCCTGCTATGCTCCCATGATAGTTTTACTCGGTGGTAATTGCCAGTCATGACTCTACCCTTAAACTCTTTCTGGAGTTAAGCATTGTAGTAGCTGGGAAATTAAACAGATTGCGTATTCTGGTAAACTCAATAATTCTCTTTCTAATATACCAGGTACAAGGAATATCGAAGAAGGACTTAGTGCTTCAGTTTATTGGGGAGGCTGTCACCAAGTGACCAAATGATTTTTATGGAATGGGACAAGTGGGAAGCAGGGCAGCCGAGATGTCAGGGGTTGGGGCTGTGGAGTTGGTTTCCCAAGCCAGCCTGCGCGTCCTTGCTAAAACCAAGAAGTGTCATGGAGTCTGGGAGTGGACAAGGACTCCTAGGATGAGGCTACTTGTTTGCAGCTCCCTGTGGAAGGAACCCTGTGACTGAGGTCAGCACGAGGACTATCAGGCACTGAGCTGAGGGCAGGAGGGCACAAGTACTGATGCTTAGCATAAGCAGTGGGTGCAGAGGTTGAGGGGTGTGCAGTAGCAGGGCTTGCTCTGTTCAGCTAGTGGCTCCTGGTGGCTGGAGCATCGAACACCAAGCACCCAGTACTGCGTGAAGGAGAGGGGATGGGTGTTGAGTGTGCGGCTTTGCAGGGCTGGCTGAAGCTGGGGTGTGAGCTGGCAGGCCTTGAACTTCTTCATCTGGAAAGCCCTATAGCACTCTGCTGCCTTCGCTATGTAAATACAGCTTCCAGCCTCTTCCCCTCACAGCCCTTTGGGGAGGCTGCCCTTCGTGAGTCCCTTACTTTATAAGGGAATCCTGGAGCTGCTCTGTACCTTTTTGTGAGCAGATGGCAGAGGCAAACTGACGAATTCCGGCGAGTGATGTGGACTTTGTGGTATTGCCTCATGAATAGTTGGGCAGTCTTGATGTCTGATATCAGCTTGCATGTGAGATTCTCAAGTCTGCCTTTCTGAAAGACATTTACAGAGTGTGGCTCTCATAGCTGTCATTTGTTCCTCTTGTGAGACTATAGGTAGACAGTGGGAAGGTGGCACAGGTTAGAGATGGCCCAGGCCTGAGAGATGGTGAACCAGGGTGAAGCCGTGGGTGGCGGAGCCTGTGCTGTTAGCCTGTGCCCTCCAGCCCTCCTCTCCCGTCTCTGGTGACTGCCTTCTGATGGCTCATTGTACTTCAAAGGGCTAAGGAGGCCTTTGAGAGTGGTGTGCTGTTGCTTAACAGGTATGTATGCCTTTTGGAGACATTGTATAATGGAGGTTACACTGATGTTCTGAGTCTGTAAGGTTTTGATCCCCTGTGGTAAAGTTGTATATGGGCTTTATAGGCAGACTGGATTGGAATTGCTTCTTTCCCCCAACCCTCACATTGACAAGCTTTGTCATTGGCCAAGTGGTGGATTGACAACTGGTGGTCACCTTGTAACACTGAACTGAACCAGCTGAACTGAATTATTGTGGTTCTGGTTGTGGGAGGCCCACCTGAGGACTGTTGCTTGCTGCAGAAGAGGCAGAACTGGAGAGGAAGAAGTTTAGAGGTTGTAGGAAGCTGTAGGAGCTGGGAGGAAGCTATAGGGAGCTGTTGGTTCTCCTGGAGGAGCTTGTCATGGTGGCTTTCCTGATGAACTCAGCTGTTCTCATCATCAAAGGAGCTCAGGACCTTGTTGTTGCCGACAGTCGCTACCATTCATTTTGGGGGTGCTGTGGTCCATACTTTGAACATCGCTTCCTGGCTCTGGAGGGGAAGAAGGTGCACTGCTTGGGCTCCTGGAGAAGCTTGTCCCATTGGCTTTCCTGATGGGAACTTAGCTTTCCTCATCATCGGAGGAGCTCAGGATCTCACTGTTGCTGAGGATGGCGGCGGTACTTCTTGGGAGAGCTCTGGTTCTTACTTTGAGCATCCCTTCCTGGCTCCAGTGCAGATCCCTCAGCCTGCAGGCACAGATCTTCATTCTGCTGGCACAGACTTTCTAGATTCCACCACTGACCTTTGGGCCTTCCCAGTGCAGATCCATGAAACAGACCTGCATGAGACATAGTCGTGGGCTCTTGGCCTCCAGTTGGACTCGTCGGGGGCATTGTTCTGGGCTCCAGGTCTTCAGCTGGACTCATGTAGGACATTGCTATGGAATCTAGGCCCTCAGCTGGATTCTTTGGTCTTTAGTGTGTGGACAGATTTCTTGCACTCCTTTTGTATGTGATCCTTTGGGTGACTATTATAAAATAATTCTATAAATTTTGTGTTCTGTATTGTTTCCCTTTGTAAACCCGTGACTGCAACACCATGTTACTTTTTCATCCTTAATAGGGGAATAATAATGCCTAACAGGATTTTTCTGGGGAATTTTCAAAATAATACACATAAAGTACTTAGTGTAATGCCTGATATTTAGGAGGTTGTTGGGCAATCTTACATGTTCTTTCCCATTTTTTTCTCAAGGAAGAGATACTCCCCCTTTTTAAATTGCTTCCCACATTGTAATGTACTTACTATAGATTACACAGGATTGTTTAAGTCAGTTCTCGTTTCCTGTGTTCTCTCAGTCTGTTCATTCTATGGATGTACTTGTTGAGTGATGTGATCTCATTGCTGTGTTGGAAGGAACATTGACGATATATGACACTTGCCTTTTATCTTTTCAGGCTTAGGCTTTACGCTGCACTGCTGGGCTCAAGGGCCTTTGTATAAGTTAATGTTACTGTAGGTTTTGGGTCATGTCCTGTGTTGTGTCTCCTATATACCCCCTCCCCCAGTGGTGTTCACTGAAAGGATATGAGTGAGTGTGCTCTATCCTCTTGTTTTAGCAGTTCAGGCTGGACTTGAACTCACTTTGCCTAGGCTAGCCTTGAACTTGCAGCAGTCCTGCTTCAACCTCCCAAGTGCTGGGATTGTAGGCGTGTGCTACTGTGCCTGGCCTATATCCTTCTCTTGTAGAGTCTATTGAGTTTAGATCTTTTCACTTTAAAGTATTTCTGCTCCTTCCAGTATGTCCCGCAATTGCTTTTGGCTCTTACAGGAGGGGTGCTTATGCCGTCTTTCTTGCACTTGGGGGTTGGTACTCTATCATATCTCTACCCTCTGTTTCTGTTGTGGCTTCAGCTATCATCCGCTTACCTACATTGGTCTTTCCTGAGTGATGTTGGAATGAGGAAGGAGAGAGGAGTGTGGAGCCAGCAGTAGCAATCTTTAGGCGGTCTCATTAGAATCAGTGCCTCTTATGCTGCGCACAAGGCTTCGAGTTAATGTGTATGTTTATAAATCTCCGCAGATGAGTCTTAATTAGCACTCTCTATTGAGAACCACTGATTGGATGCTTGCAGCCAGATTGCATTCTTCCTTTTTGGGTTACTTGCTTTTTTGTATGTGTGTGTCCTGAGGGGGAAGTGATACCTAACAGGTAAGACTAGTGGATTCAGATCATTTGTGTCAGCAGAGTTTGAGAGTTACATAAATACTTCTGAGCTTCAGTTTTACCTCCTCTGAATGAAGGGAATAATATCATTCATCTTCAGTCTTTGTGAAAGAACTAGTCCCTGTGAATCTGCTGGTATGTGGGATCATGGAAACACAGGAAGTACTAGCTATTGGGGATATGGACAGCAGTAGAAACTTCATTTGTAATATGAAAATATAAAGTGAATTTGAAGATTCTGGTCTTACATTGCTGTCTGTTGATATTTTGTCATGAGGGTTAAAAAGTTTTTTGTGTGGCAGTTCTTAAATGTTTTTAAAGTATCTGTGTTTGCCTCTTTCTCTTGTAAATCAAGTCATTCTGGCTCTGAAGAAGCATCCGGTTCAGACTCAGGCAGCCAGTCGGAAAGTGAGCAGGGAAGTGACCCGGGGAGTGGCCATGGCACTGAGTCAAATAGCACTTCTGAATCTTCAGAGAGTCAGTCTGAATCTGAGAGCGAATCTGCAGGCTCCAAATCCCAGCCAGTCCTTCCCGAAGCCAAAGAGAAGCCAGCATCTAAGAAGGAACGGATAGCTGATGTCAAGAAGGTAGCATCATCATCATCATCTTTTTTTTGAGACAGGGTCATGCTGTGTATGTAGTTCAGGCTAGCTTTGAACTTATTATGTAGCTCAGGCTTGGCCTCGAATGCAGCAGTCCTCCTGCCTCAGCCTTCTGAGTGCTGGGGTTATAGGCATGCCCCACTGTGCCTGGCCTTGTTTGTTGTTTTTTGAGACAGAGTCTCACAATGTACTTCAGGATGGCCTTGACCTCACTATGTAGCCCAGGCTGGCCTCCAGCTTTCGTCAGTCCTCCTGCCCTGATTGCTGGCATTACAGGCGTGCACCACCATATCTGGCATTTTTTTTTGGTACTGAGTATTGAACCTAGGCCTTTTACACTGAGCTACCTCCCCTATTTTTTTCTATTTTTTTATTGTGAGATGTAGTCACCCTAAGTCATTACGTTGACAACGCTGGGCTCATTTGTGATCCTCCTCGCCACCTCATCCAGCTGCCTTACGGAATTTAAAATTCACGAAATACTTTGTCTTTAGTGGAAGTAATTATTCTCTTTGGCATGTTACTCAGCTGTGAGTTTATATTTCAATGATGGGTAAGCAGTGTACCTTATAAAATAGATACTAAGTAATGAAAAGCATTTTAAACTTTTTGTGCCCTAGAATCATAGTCCTCTTCTTTTTGTTTTGTTTTTTTGAGACAGTGTCTCATGGAGTTCAGTCTGATTTTGAACCTACTATGTAGCCTAGGCTGTTCTTGAACTCATGGTGATCCTCCTGCCTCAGCCTCCCAAGTGCTGGGATTACAGGCTTGTGCTACCATCCTCGGCTATCTGTTTTTTGTGATGGTGCTGTGTTATCTCTTAAATGAAACTAGCACAACAGCCCTTTTGATGCTTTGTTACTTGAAAAAACTGTTCTAGTAATGAAAATAGTAAATGAGGATGAAGAAAAAAAGATTGATGTATGGTCTATTAATTTTGCAGATGTGGGAAGAATACCCTGATGTTTATGGAGTCAGGCGGTCAAACCGAAGCAGACAAGAACCATCACGATTTAATATTAAGGAAGAGGTAAGAGAAAAATGTTTTGAGGGATATACTTAAATTCTCTGTCTTGCCTCATCCTTTTTGACTCTGGTGTGTACCACTGTTAACAAAACTGAACTGCAGGCGTAAAAGTGACTAAAGTGAGCTTTCTGTGAACAGGCACACAGTAAGTCAAGAGTTTAATTAAAAGAACTTTATCAAAAAATGTCCTAGAATAGTTCAGTAGAGTATTACACAGAACTGGCCTTAAATTTTTGTTTTTAAATTTTTTATAGTGGAATTGACTACAGCAAGAAGTTGACTTTTTAAAAATCTAATTTCTAAGTTGAGATTTCTATGAAGTCAGTAACTTATTTGGTGAACAGTGGGAATAGTTTTGGACTTCTTCCTGAGAAAGGAAGGAGGAGAGAATACTTAATTTAGACAGTGTTATGTCTTCTTTAGTAAATTTTGTTTCCTGGATTGAGTGTGAGATACAAAATCAGTTTCCAGCACACTTGCTATCTGATTTAATTGTGGGATTGAATAGATTGGTGATTTCTTGTTTCTCTTTCTTCTTTTTTTTTTTTTTTCTTTTCTTTTTTTTTGTTTTTTTGAGATAGGGTCTCGCTATGTAGTTCAGGCTGGGCTTGAACTCACAGAGATCCTCCTGCCCCAGCCTCTCAAGTGCTGGGATTACAGATGTGCACCACCATGCCTGACAGATTGGTGCTTTTTAAAACTGGTATTATGTGTAGGGTTTGCTGGCTTATAGAATCAGACTTCCTTCACCTTTCTCAGATTGTGGGTTCTTGCCTGTGTATTAGGGTTATCAATTAGTCTGAGGAGATATTTGTGTCTTAGTGAAATGTCCCCTTTCTACCTTCTTAGAAGGACTTTGTGAATCTTAGCTATAAAATATTCTTCATATGAAGGTTAAATATTGATAGTTAAAAGTTAGTGAGTTGGGTGTGGATTTTTAGTACATAAAGTCTTTAAAAATTGAATTCCCCCCAGTAAATGGATTACATTTGTGTTATTTGATGTTGAGTGACCTCTAACATCAAGTGGCCTCTGGTTTGCCCTTGCTTTCCCTAAGTAGCTGTACTGAGCGAGACTGGTTATAGCCAGTTACATAGTTGTATAAAGCTTTTCCTCTTTAGTGTATATTACACGTTCTTAGGTGGGCATGAAACTAACAGCAGTGGTAGTTGCCACTTGGCTTAATTTTTGGGCGAAAGAGTGGTTCAGATTGCTGTGACTGAACTGTTGTGGCCTAGTACGATTAGCAGAGCACTTTGGCTTTTGACTGAGCTGTGCTTGAACTTGGCTAATGAATGTCATGAGTAGTCGGTGCCTGTCAGGCACACTAATAATGCAGCATTTTTATTTTGTAGTCTGTATGTGCAGTGTTCAGTATGGTCACTGGCAGTCACAGGTAGCCTTTAAAGTTGACAGAAATGAAAATGAGGTAAAATTTAAGTTCCATCCCTTCCTCACATTGTGCTGGTGACTACAGTATTGGACGTTGCAGATGCAGAGTGTGTACGTCACTGTAGAACGTCTTTCTGGATAGTACTGTTCTGGAAGTTGAGCTGAGATGAATACTACCTGGCTTGAGCAATAACTCAGTGATTAAAAGAACACATTAGCCTTTTCTTTTTTGCCTTTCTGGGGATGGAGCCAGGGCCTTGCTCATGCTGGGCAAGTGCTCCCGCTCTAGGCTGCACCCCAGCCTGAGAGACACTGATTTTCAAAGCAAAAAGAGTGACCTCTACTGAGCAGATGCTCAGTTGCTTTCTGTCTGAAATCTCTATTGAAATGTTGCTGTATTGAATATTAACCAGGAGATGGCGTTGTCCCAAGGAACTGTGAATTAAAGTCTGTAACCGTTTTTCCCCTCACACACTGAAGGCCAGTAGCGGGTCTGAGAGTGGGAGCCCAAAACGAAGAGGCCAGAGGCAGCTGAAAAAACAGTAAGTCTTTCATGGGGGAAATGATGGAATCTGGTAGTGTCTTGAGCATGCTAGCATTTCTGGGCCAGGCTTGATCATGGCCTTCGGTGCGTGCCGGGTCCCGAGATGGCTTCTGTGTGCGGTGAACTTGGGTGACTGCGTTTGCTGCTGTAGCAGCGGCAGCCTGGCCGGCTCCTCGGTGTCAGGGGGCGCCTACGCGCTGGCCAGTCTCCAGCTTCCCCTTCAAGTTCCCACATTAGTGTAGTTAGTTTTTTCTTAAAATGTGAATAAATACCAAATACACATGTACTTGGTATTGTAGTTAAATAACGAATAAGTTTAAATTTGGCATTTTTCGTATTCATTGGTTTTTCTGTTGCCATGACCAAGTTATGTTGGCTGGGCGCCCATTTTGGTATGAAATTACATACTGTTGTCGGGCATAGTTGGGCACATACCTGTAAACCCTGCACTTAGAAGGCTGGGGCAGGAGGATTGCTGTGAGTTCGAGGCCAGCCTGGACTATGTAACTAGACTTCGTCTTGAAAAAAATAAACAAAGAAATTACATACTGTTGTTTCCATATAATATTAATACTGTAGTTCATAAGCCAGAAAATGAATTCTTGGCCTTAATGTGAAATTATATTGTAATATACATAGTGAGAAAAATTATTTTTAGTATCTTTCTTTGGAGAAGGTGCAGGGCTTTGTACTATAGGAATTTGATAGATCTTATTAGAAAAATTTAGATTCTCAAAACTTTGCACACCAATTCAAGGAGTCTCATGTTAAATAATTATCTTTGGTTTCCAAGGAGAGATCCCTCTACATAATCTCAGACTCTAAAATATCTCAGTTTGGGTTTTGAAAACCCATTTCCTTATCTAGAAAATGGAGTAATACTGATTCTGCCTATCCTACAATTACTAGAAACCCCGCTGAGGTTTTGTGACATTAAATGTCGATGGTGAAAGAACTTCCCAGGAAAGTCGAGTATTTAATATTGTTCTGCTGTGGTACATCTGGTTTTAAAGCGTTTGTTCTGCCTAAGTCCCACGATCAGGGCGGATACTCTTCCCCACTTGGTGCTCGTCTCGTGGCCTTTGGGGGACCTTTCTGAGGGGTTCACGGGCACAGTATCTGCTGAGCTAGCTCGGTAGACAGAGGGTGGGGCGGTAACACTCGAGTCTTGGCATGGCCCTGGCGCTCTGATCTGAACAGCTGTGTCACGGCCTCGTGTGTGAGCAGGTGGCGCTCAGAATGGAGAGACTCGGAGGAAGAAGCATTTTCACAGGTTAGTACAAGGAGAGGCCTTTTTGAGCCCTGCAGGTTTGGATTCATAGATTGTTTAAAATAAGAGAATTAAAAATATAAAAGAATTTTTAGAAGGGAACTAACTGCTTCTTATACTCTAAGCGTATTTCTATTGCTTTTTTTTGGTGGGGGTGGTGCTGGTGACTGAACCCACAGTCGGGAGCTAGCTCGGTGGATACTGTGCCCTTGAACTACTCTTCCCGCTCAATTTACAGTTAGTTTCAGACTTTTGAAAAGGTGTAAGACTAAAAGTGTGCTACAGAGATACCTTGTGCACTATGCTTATACTTAACAGTGTTTACCTTTTTTGCCCCATTCGCTTTTTTTAAAATACACTTTTCTACCTGCTTCATTGTTGTAGACTCCGCCCTTCCCTTTCTCTCCCCCTGCATTTGCACATACATCTGAACCATTTGAGACTCAAGTTCCTTTCTAATTCCTATATAAGGTGTATATTTCTTGGGAATAAGGGTAGTTTCTGTGTTCTTGAAATGTTTTTATTTCGTATTCCAGCTTTTGTTAGTTGACCCATGTGTCTACCACTATTACAGGAGTCAGTCTAGGGTCAGATGCTGCACTTAATTTTCTTCCCTCTCTCTTGAAATGCTAGGGCCTTCCCACTGAGCTACACCCCACCCCTTTATTTTTTGTTTTGAGACAGGGTCTTAATAAGTCTGAATTGCCTAGACTAGTCTTGAACTTGCAATCTTCCTGCTTCAGCTTCCCTGAATATTGGGATTATGGGTGTGTACCACAGTACCTAGCTTCAAGTTCCTTTTATCTGGAAAAATTTCACAGCCTTTGCCTTTGTGATATTCCTGTTTTTGAAGAATGTAGTCTTAAAACGGAGTGTGTTTTTTAGAAAATTACAAAGAGGCTTTGTAGAGACATACAGTATATTAATACTTTTTTTTAAACTTAGACATTACATAGCATAGTGGGCCTACATGATATTCAAAACATTTTCTAAAGTTAGTTAAGCAGCAATCAAAACTGACAGACTGGATTGAGAATATGTATCTCTAGCTGCTTCAGTTCTGGTCCGTACACTAAGTGTGGCCATGAGTTTCCCTCTCCTCCCTCTCTGCAGTCTTTGCACCCTTGCCAGCTCCAGCGGGAAGACTGTAACCCCGAAGTCGCATAGACAAACAAGGCTGAATTTATTGGACCCACTCATGCTGTTTTAATGACTGAACGATCTTTTTTGTGCAGTATCTGTTAGTGTTATCCAAATTGGGGCAGTGTTGTATGGAATTTCTGCAGACCGTGGTCCTGATAGTGCTGAAAAACACTGCAAGGGTTCAGAACAGTTTTCCCAAAGAGGATGTTAAATATTTCAGTCATAATAATGCAGAATTGTTCTCTGCGGTCATAGTTATTTATTCCCTTCCAGTGTTTTGAATTGGGAATCTGTCATAAACCTGTAGCACAGTGGAAGAGAATCCCTGTTAGTCCCACAGTGGAATCATTCATGAAAGGTGCTCTTGAAAGTTGAATAAGTTTAAACAGCTACTTCCCTCCTTTCCCGACCTGACCTGCCTTCTAACACGGGCGAGAAAGGAAGTCTCCTCTGTAGGTTCTTAGAGACATTTCGTAGTGAGCCTTTGCAGCTCTAGGCCAAAATTCAGGCTCATTGTATTTGAAAGTGGCCTTTGCACATTACCCGCTTCATAGTTGCTTAGATTTGATTTGCCCCTCCCAAGATTTGTGTTTTTTTTTCTTTTGCCTTTTTGAGACAGGGACTTGCTGTGCAGTTCAGGCTGGCCTTGAGCTCACTTTGTAGCCCAGGCTGGTCTTGAACTCACAACGATCCTCCTGCCTCAGCCTCCCCAGTGCTGGGATTACAGGAGTGTGTCACCACGCCCAGCAAGATTTGTGTTTTGCCAACCATCTTCTCCCAAAAAGAGAATGTTCACTAGGTCCAATTAACTTGCATTTAGACTCCTTACTTGTTTATATTTCCTTAGGGCCTCCTCCCAAGCTAAATCTTAGGATTTTTCTCCTTAATTCTGAAATTCAGACTAAAATTCCATTGATTTCTTCTTATAATTAGGCATAAAATTCAGATTTATTGTGGTACATGAAAATAGTGTTTATTTACAATCATTTCTCTTAGACTTTTCTTTGGATTTTGTTTGTTTTTTGAGACAGTCTTGCCCTGTAGTTCAGACTAGTTTTGAGTTCACTATATAGCCCAGAATGGCCTCAGATTTGTGGCAGTTCTCTGTCCTCAGCCTTCCAAGTGCTGGGATTACAGGTGTGCACCACCTCACCCAGTTTAGACTCCTCTTTATAGCCAGAATTATAAATCATGACCTAATTGGTGCGGTGTGGGTTTACACATTGGTATTTTATAAGAAGCCAGCAATATAGGAAAGTGAACGTGTTTGAGAGTCTTGTGCATTATGGGGTCGGGAAGTAATCTTTTCATAAATGATAATCTTTCACCTCACCCTTTCTACAGGGTGATCTAATGTTGTTAATTCTTTTTTTCTTGTTAATGAAAATTAAAACAAAATAATACTGCTAGTTTCAAACACAAATAACATACACTCAGGCCTGTTAAACCTCCAGTTGTCTGTGTGCTTGTGGGATTGGCAGGACTGGAGGTTTGCTGTAGGATTGAACAACTTATTCTCACTAGCTAGCCTTCAGTTTCCTAATGGGAGGAGAGGTTAAGACCAGTTGATTTCTGAAGGTGTCTTCCACTTCTTCTGTTGGGCGATTCTAAGTTTTCCTGGTTGTCAATAACTTAGTAGTTTGAGTGGAGAGCTCTAGCATCAGTTCATATTTTTTCAGTGTTTGCTGCTATTTTAATCTCCCATACTTGTAGAAGTAGACCTTACTGGTGGCTCTGGTTTCAATTCTTAATTACTGGAGGATATATGTAAATTAGAACTACTATTTGACTATGGGTCTTTCTCACATGATCTGTGTTCTTTTTGAGTCTTAATGTGATGGCAGTTTTAAAAGTTAAAAATCAAGTAGTCTGACACCATATTAGGACAGAATGAGATCATGCTGCCCACCACATAGCTCATCTGTTAGACTCACTCATCCTTGACTGACTACACCAGAGATAACCTGACCCAGCTCAGCTTGACCACACCCAGCTGCGTAGCCCATACTTTCTAGCCCCAAACATATCCTGTTTGCTAACTTGTTTCAAAGACTTTCTGTTCAACAATGAAGAATAACTGATGCTACCCAATAAAAATTCATACTTTTTTTTCTAAACAATACTTTTATGCTTTTGTATCTTCTGCTTGCACAACCTAAGCCCAAACCTGGCTCTGGGCTGATGTTTTGGGGGCAATTCCCCTTCACCATTGTAGTAAAGTTGCCTTCCAACTCCTTGGTGCAGAGCATTTTCCATTTGGTTTGGTACTTGGTTCCATAACATTAATTGTTTCTATTCTTGTAAGCTTTTTTCCTGTGAAATCACTTCTGGCTAGTGTGACAGTAAGCTCCATCTGAGGGGAAAACTTGGTCCAGTGGAGACTATAGACCCAAATGCCAAGTCTTGTAGTTGCTGGGAACATCTTCCATCCTGCAGAACACCTTCTGTTGGATTGTTTCATAGACATTTATTTTTTTAGGCTCCAGGGAAGCAGAATAAGATAGGTACCCAGAATGGTTAAATATAAGGTCTTTGTTTTAAAGAGACATTGATGGATATTAATTAATAACAGGTCTTACTGTCTTAGGAGTTTCCTTCCAAAAGTACTCTGCCGTCTGACTGACAATTTGATATGACTTATTTAATTAATATCTTTACTTAACAAAGGAACATTTCCTATTAAGCTCTGGTACAAAGGTGGACAAAAAAGACATGCAAGAAGTTATCTCCTATTAGAGAAATGGATATGAGTGTATGTAGTAAAAGTACCAATCCTAAGGTAGTTCAGGTGTAGATAGGCTAACTCATGCAGCTTTTAGAAAAAATCTTAAGGACTGTAGCTTAACCTCCTTTTTGGAACAAGCTTTCACTATTATTTTGACCTGTGCTCCTAAGAAAAACAGTGATTTGACTTTGCAGTTCTGTAACAGTTGCCTTTAACATGACCTTATTTCACAATGAGGTAGAAAAATCTGAAAGCCAGCTATCTGAACTCTCTGAAGTGGTAACAGTGAAAGTAACAAAGCAGATGAATGAGGTTCTAGAAAAAAAAAAATCACCAGAAATAATTTCTCAGATAACTACAGTGGTGGTGACTATAGTATACTACATGCTTAGTGACTCTAGAGTAGATACAGATCAAAACATGAGGAGCTTAGGAAAATGATGGAAACCATAAATGCCCAACATAGGAACTAAGTGGAATCCATGAAACAGATTCAGGAGATTAAACAGATTCAGGATTCCAGGAGATTAAAAATTCCATTGAAAGCCCATTTAGCAGAATGAGCCAATATGAAGACAAAATTTTGATATAGAAGACAGGATTAGGGTTAGTGATCATGAAAAGAAAGATTTCTTAAAAATAGTAAGAGGCCACAAGAAATCAATCTAGCAGCTGCTAAGTGATACAAAGGAAAATAACATAAGCATGATTTGGGTCAATCAGAAAGCAGTATATAGTTCAAATGATGTAAAAAGCCTGTTCACAGAAGTCATGAGAGAAACTGCCCAAGCAGGGAAAAAGAATTGTACATATGTACATACAGAAGCAGGTAAGTGAGACACATAGAACTCCAATTAGTCATGATTAAAAAAAATCCACATAGGAGGCATGTAATACTCAAGATTTCAGGAATTCAGTGTAAGAACAGAATATTAAAAGCTGTTAAAGAAAAGAAACAAATCATTTATAAAGAACTGCCCATCAGATTCACAGCAGACTTCTTAACACAAACCCTCAATTAAGGGAGAGCTTGGAGTAAAGTATTTTAAGCCCTAAAGGAAAACACACTTGAACTCAGATTGATGTACCCTGTAAAACTGTCTTTGAAAATTGATGGAGAAATTAGATGCTTCTGTGACAAAGAACACCTGAGGAAATTCATGAACACCAAACCAGCACTCCAAAATGTGCTGAAGGGTATTCTAGAAAGAGATAACAAGGATTACAACTTCATGAACCCCAACAGAATGAAGCCACCAGGCAAGACAAGCAGTTAAACAGAGGGGCTATAAAAGGGAGCCAACAACAGGAAAATAACATGGCAAGAATTAGTCAATACATATCAGTTGTAAACGTCAATGTTAATGGTCTCAATTCACCAATCAAAAGAAACCAGATCCAACAATATGCTGCATACAAGAAATACATTTAATGAAAACAGATTCATAGACTGAAAGTCGAAGGATGGAAAACAATACTCCATGGGACAGGAACCCAGAAAAAAGCAGGGGTAGCTATTCTTTTTGCAGACAAAGTGGATTTCAAGCCAAGAGAGATTAAGAGAAACAAAAAAGATCACTGTATCCTTCTAAAGGGAACAATCCAAGAGGAAGAGATAACAGTCATAAATATAGATGCACCAAATACCAGTGCACCCAACTATATAAAACAAATATTACCAGGCATGAAAAATCAGATAAGCACTAGCACATGCCCTTATTTCCTGTAAAGGAACCAGAGGCACAGTGGTAATTGTTTTGTTTACAGAGAAATTTCAGGCATTGCCTCTCAGTTTTTTTCTAGGTATTTAATAACCCCTAGCTAGTAAATATTCCTTTATCTCCCTACAATTGAGAAATGAACTAGGTCTCTGAGATAATCTTGTTTGGTTTTAGGGAAGATACCTGTAGGTTGTGACCCAAGCCTTCTAAGATCTCAAGGAGTGAAAAAACACTCATTTTATCTAATAAGTATTAAAAACTAGACCATTGCCTGAACAGATTATTTAGTTCAGTGTTAGCTTTGTAACTGAAAAATAACTTCACAACTATTTCTTATTTTAAGATAAGGTCTTACGTAGTTCAGGTTGGTCTTGGACTCACTGTGTAGCTTAGGCTGGCATCTGACTCATGGCTGTCCTCCTGCCTCAGCTTCCCAAGTGTATTTCTTTAAACACATTCTAAAGCCTGAAAATACTATAATGGTTCTTAAATCAGTTTAAAACTGTTAATCAGCATCATATGTGGGTTTGTTAAAATTCAAAGGTTTAGGCCTTACCTGAAACCTCTTGAATCTGTAACACTATGCCTGGGGCCCGGCAGTCTTTATTAAGAATCCTTTCAGGTGTTCTGATGCATGCTAAAATTTGGGGACCATTGGTTTGAATGTATTACATCTTCAGTCTTGTCCTTGATATAGTAGTAAATCAAAAAGGAATTTGGGAAACTTAATAGCATTTTCTCCCTAGGAAAAAATGACTTGGAAAATAAATCCATATTTTCCCTTTTTATATGTTTTGTTACCAGAGATAAAGTAGGAATAAATAGTATGTAATGTAACTAAAATTTAAAAGAGCTAAAATAAATCTCTTCTAGTAGATCTCATGTATGCATGCTGTGCATTTCAGATAACCTGATTGCAGTTTGTCAGATGACTTCGCTAGAGGAATTCTTTTAGAAAAAAGTTACTTTATTTTGATTTTGATTGCAGAGAAAAATGGAAACGCGAGCCCTCAGAAGATGAACGGGAACAGGGCACCAGTGCGGAGAGTGAACCTGAGCAAAAAAAAGTGAAAACAAGAAGGCCTGTGCCCAAAAGGTGCTTTGTTGGCTTCAGAGTCCTTGCTCCTGGCTGAGCTTCGTTGGAAGGGTGAAGTCAGGCTGGAGCAAGCACCGTGCTAGAATTGGCTGTGCTTCTGGTTCTGGGTCCTGTGTTCAGTCGGTGTCAGCCTGCACTGTCACCAAATGGTCACTGGGTGTTCGCAAGGCAGTAGCTCTAACAGTGGATCTAAGTGCTTAAATTTCATAGCAGTCTAGTTCGTGCAATCGTGTTCCACTTTAGAAAATTTCCCTATGTGTTTGGCCAAGGTATGCATTCCTTCTTGGGAGATCTTTGTTTTGTTTTTGGCGGTTTTGGGGACTGAGGGCAGGGCATTCACCTGGAACTCTTATTTCCAGCCCTTTTTTATTTTTTATTTTAAGATAAGGGTCTCCCTAAATCAATGAGGTGCCTACCATGGACTCTTAGGTGACCTTATGGGTATATTCTTTGTACATCAAGAAAAAATGCAATTATTTCTTGTCCTTCACTCCACTTAAAATGGATACCAAGGCCAGGTGTGGCGGTACACACCTGTAATCCCAGCACTCGGGAGGCGGGAGGCAGGAGGATTGCGGGAGTTTGAGGCCAACCTGGGCTACATAGTGAGTTTGAGGCCAGTGTGAACTACGTAGTAACACTCTGTCTCAAAAAAAGAAGGCAAAACAAAAAATACCCACCAAAAAACAACAGATGCCAGCATTCTTTGTGTGTTTCTTTCCTTATTTTGGAAATTGTACCGTTGCCCAGAAATATCATTTTTCTTTTTTTGTGACCATATAGTAATATGTTTAGTTTCTAGATGGTGAATATGGAGAGTTTCTAGCCCCACTGTGATACCTTATTGTGCCTGTCTAGATGCTTTATCTGTATGATTCCTACAAGTAAAGTTGATACATTTTAAAATTTCAGCAAGTATTACTAAATTGCCCACCAAAGACATACGTACCCTCAGCAAGATATTGCATGTGCTTCTGGTATCAGGTGGTCCTGATTGAGAGTTGAGAATCACTTAACTCTCCTATAAACGATGGAAGATTTATCAGCATGGAATCACCTTTGTGTTGAAACTGCTGATGTCTAGTGAGGGGAAGTAGGAATATGCATTTTTTTTTTTTTTTTTTTTGCGGGGGAGGTGCTGGAAATCAAACTTAGGACCTTGAACTTGCCAGGCGGGGGCTGTGCCGCTGAGCTATATCACCGGCCCCCAGGAATATGCATTTTTAATGTTACTCAGATGAATCCTATTTATGTACTACTATTATATAGATTTGAAGTAGATCCCAAATGATAAAAACTTTGCCATTTTTTATTATTATTTTAGAACAGTGCCCAAACCTCGTGTTAAAAAGCAGCCGAAGATCCAGCGTGGAAAAAGAAAAAAGCAAGATTCTTCTGATGATGACGAGGAAGATGATGAAGCACCAAAAAGGCAGACTCGTCGGAGGGCGGCTAAAAATGTCAGGTGATTTGTGCTCCAGGAGTTCTTCCTTGGTGGGAGAGTAATAGTGATGTTGGTTAGAACTTAGTTCTGAGAAGGTGAAGATTATACATTTACTAAGCAATAGTAACAACCTGTGTCCTAAAGTATTCTTCAGAAATCTGGAATGTTTTTCAGTCTTTCTGGAAAAAGAATGGTGTTACGCCAACTGAAATTGGCAGTTGTAGCAATAGCTCATTTCAGACTGCTTCAAGTTCACGTCCTGTCTTAGTGGCATTATTTTAATTCTGTCATTCTTTGAGGAAAATGTTGGTATTGTATTGTCACTTTTGAATTCTTCTGAATCGTACAGATTTTTCTGAGGTTCAGTTCATGTATTGATACTTGGTTATAATAATTTTATGAAACAGTAATAGATTAAAACATTAACAGTAAGGTAGATATATTCAAAATTAATATTTTACTTGGTTGAAATTAAAAGATATTTAATTTTTTAATGTAGTGTATGAGGTTTCTTTTATCTACTTGGAAATGGCAAAACTGAGGTCTAGATATACTAATTACTTGTCCATTGTAGTTAATTAATAAGTGCAAACTAGGACTAGGCTTTAAATATGATGGTATACTAGCACATGTTCTTATAAACTGTACACCAAATTAGGTTAGGTTTTTCTCTTTTGGACTCCCAAACTTTGGTTATTAATGTATGGTAAAAGTTAATAGTTTATGTTTTATTACTAGGAAGTACATTTGTGAAAACTCCCAGTATTTTGGTAGTACTTAAATTTCATCATCTTGTTATTGGGAGACAAAGAGTTGAAACATTTAATCTTCCCTTTTGTTTGAAGGAGTAGTAATTTTTCCTTTCATTATTTTCTTTAATTGTAGTAGTTTCCTTCTTTACGCAGTATGAGCTGATACTAGAAAATGAAAAGGAAAATACATGTGTCCCAGTTTTTTATATCTTGCTTGCACAAATTAGTATAAAAATAGTGTTTTTAGTTTGAAATATTCGTTAGCCTTCTTGCACGTATGTGTGAACATGCATCAATACTTTAAATAGGGAAAAATATAGCACTGAGTCCACTGCATGGTGAATCTGCAAAACAGCATGTTGAAACCAAGAGTATAGTTCTTTATTTTGGTGATGCTATGTGTGGAAGTGTTTCATTCTCAAAGTGTGGTTTCTCATTGATTCAGCATTATTTCTTGCACAGTTATAAAGAAGATGATGACTTTGAAACTGACTCTGATGATCTCATTGAGATGACTGGAGAAGGAGTTGGTGAACAACAGGATAATGGTGAAACTATTGAAAAGATCTTAGATTCCAGATTGGGAAAGAAAGGAGGTATGTATATTTGGGGAGCAAAATACTTTTCAGATCTTCTCAGTAAGGCTCAGATTTTATGTATTTTAACTAAGGTGATGAATGTTAGTCAACACTTACTTGTTGTGAAAAGTACAACTCTGAACTAATTGTCATATTTCAAGAGCTGAGAAGACAGGAACGGATCCAATATTTCTTTGAGATTTTAAGTGACGCTAGTAAAGTGTTACTGTTTTATAAAACAGTGGTAGAATAGATTCTTGCTTATTAGATATTTGCTCATTAAGCAAGTATGGGTCTGGTTGTTTCTGAACAACCTGGTAAGAATATTGAACTGGTTAAATACATATCAGGATAATAGTTTTTAAAATGCAGTTGACACTGGACAAGGTGGGGCTTGCCTATAATGCTAGCACCTGGGAGGTGGATTACCATGAGTTTGAGGGCAGGCTGGTCTACACAGTGAGTTCAAGGCCACCGTGGACTGCATAGCAAGACCCTGTCTTAAACAAAACAAAACCAAAAACAACTGTGTTTAAGATATCTGACAACTTAGTTGCTTTAAAGTAACATCATAAAGAAAATACCAAAATAATACTTAATACCCTCTCTTTTTTGCCACCTATTTTAGCTTCATTTGAGATAAAAGTTAAGAAAACTTTGTGAGGGTGGGTAAGTGAGGGGAGATTTTTTTCCTTTTTTTTTACGTAGGGTTTCACTCTGGCCTTGAACTCATGATCCTCCTCCCTCAGCCAGGTAATGTATTGGGTTCGTAGGCATGAGCAGTGCTGTCTGGCAACCCAGGAGGGTACTTTGATTTTCTGTTCTCCAGCAGTACCTCCAAAGAGGGATTTGGTTGCTGAGTAATTAGAGATCAGAATATATGATGTTGCTGCTCTATTTTTATTATGTTTTGACGGAGGATTTTTTTATTTTTACCTGCAAATTTTGTACAGTGTTAAAATTGGGTTTTGAAAATACTTGAAATTCCTGAGTTCATACTGTGTTGTGAGTTTGTGCTTGTTTCAAGTCACAGTATTTGGTGGTTCATCCAAAAAGACTCTTTACAAAACTGCTTCTTTGGGAAGCTTTTCACTGTCTGGTTTTATATCTGCTCTTGAAAGCTTACTGAATTCTTCTGCAGCCACTGGAGCTTCTACTACAGTGTATGCTGTTGAAGCTAATGGAGACCCGAGTGGTGACTTTGACCCTGGGAAGGGTGAAGGTGAAACCCAGTACCTCGTCAAGTGGAAGGGGTGGTCTCACATCCACAGCACATGGGAGAGTGAAGAGTCCTTACAGCAGCAGAAAGTGAAGGGCCTCAAAAAGCTAGAGAACTTCAAAAAGAAAGAGGATGAAATCAAACAATGGTATATATTCCATCATGTGTTAAAGAGATCTGGTTAGCTTGAGAGAAGAGAAAGTTCTAAAATAATGCATGGAGAATACAGCTACTTAAGATCTTAGATTTTTCCTTGATCATCTGGACATGCAGCCTTGTGTAATTCTGTTTTATAAAATTATGAATAGAAGACATTATATTTTTGTATGGCTGCTAAGTTTTTAGAATTATTATGTAGCTCAGTGAACACTGTTCACACATCATCTGTTCAGCCCTCACAGCAAAGGTGTAAGAGGTGTAATGTTACCCTGTGTTGTGTATGGGAAGAGCGAGGCGCAGAGAAACGCAGGAAGAAACCCAGGACTTGAATTTTGGCACCTTGAGTCTGGAACCTGTTCTCTAAAGCACCTTGTTATTCTTCTGTGGGAAGCCTGGCATGGTTTAGGTGTGAAGAGTTGATCATTCTACAACTCTGGGTTATGTAAACTTAAAACTAATCTTGGTTTTAGGAGTTGACAGGTAAAACCTGTCAAGTGTGTTAAGGTTTTTTTAAAAAAAGTACTCAGGCTGAATTAAAAAGACTACTAAAGGGACAGATGGAAGTAAATAAGTTTCCTTTCCTGCCTTGGGTTTTTTCTCTAATATGGGTATGTAGATCTCCAAAATCTAATTGGTATATACTTTTTCCTTTGTCTTCTGTCAAGGTTAGGAAAAGTTTCTCCTGAAGATGTAGAGTATTTCAATTGCCAACAGGAGCTGGCCTCAGAGTTGAATAAACAGTATCAGATAGTAGAAAGAGTAATAGGTAAGTACATGGAAACTGAGATAGCCATGTTTAAGCCCAAAGAATAAACAATTTTGCTGTTAGGCGAATAGAAAGTAAGGAATGCATTTGGAGGTCTACATTTTGAGATTAAACAGATGGATAGATGTATTTTGAAGAAAAATCTAGGAAGATTTGCTTAAAAATTTGGGTGTGGGGGATAACAAAAAGGGGGTCAAAAATGATGGCAAGACTATTGGCTTGGAGATAGAAAGATATATAACAGTAGAGGTGCCGTTTAATAAAATGGAAAGATGAAGGAAGGATCTGATTTGGGGCATGGAACTCAAGAGCTTAGATTGATATTTAAAGGCTTTATTGACTTTAGTCATCTAAGGGGAGAGTATTTGGAAGACTAGAATATAGGTTAATTGGAGTTTAGAACTTTTAGTCTGGGTTAGAGGTTTAAAGTTGACTCTTTGGGGGTGGGTAGGTAGTGTTGAAAGCCTGCGATTTAATGAGGTCATCCAAAATAAAATATACATGGTGAGAAGATGAAGTCTGAGAGGGAGCACCCCCGTGTGTGTGAGTTTGAAAGAAGTTGTTGAAGGAGGTGGGGAAGGATCATCTGGTGACAAGAGGCGTGCTAAGGGAGACTGCCTGGCTGGAAGCCAGTGAGTTCCGCTGCTGCAGTGGAGGGAGTGCTGTTAGTTGGGATGATTGGTATGGCCTAGTGAAATGGACCTAGTGCAGCTCTAATTAGGGTGTGCTCAAGAGTTAGTGAAGGGGCCACCAAGTGAGTCATTGGAGGAATTTTATTTATTGATTGATTGATTGTCTTTTTTGAGACAGGGTCTTGCTATGCAGTTCAGGCTGGCCTTGAGCTCACTTTGTAGCCCAGGCTGGTCTCAAACTTGCAGTGATCCTCCTGCCTCAGCCTCCCGAGTGCTGGGATTACAGGTGTGTGCTGCCACGCCTGGCAGGAATTTTATTTTGAAAGGGAACAGAGAAATGAGGGTGATAGCCTGAGTGGGGGTGAGTGAGAAGTTCTTTGAGGTAGGGTTTCATTACACAGTCCAGGATGGCCTTAAACTTACTGTGTAGTAGCCTAGGTATCTTCAACCTCAAAATCTTGCTGCTTTAGCTGACCTGAGTACAACCATATATAGTACTAGCATGCCCAGCTGAGAATAAGACTTAAAGTTCTTTGTGGTGGTAGTGGGGATTGAACCCAGGGCTTTTACACTGAGCTATGTTCTTAGACCTTTTTTTAAAAAAATTTTGAGATCTTGCTAAGTTGACCATACTTGATTTGAACTTTCAAGTCCACCTGTCTTAACTTTCGAGAATGCTGGGGTTGTAGGCATGTACCACACTTGCTCCAAAAAAACTCCTTTTTGACATTTTTGATGTATCATACCATCATCCCTGAGCACTGGGCAGTTGGCAAAGCCCACCATCACCCTGCAAATCACAGCCTTATGCAAAGAGAAGGATTGAACCCAGGGAGTGCTGAGCTCCATATCCCTAACGCTTTTTATTCTTACTTAATTTCTGGACTCCAAGACTTGCTGCTTATGTAAACAATTTTTATTTTTTATCTGTACTGTATATTTTCTTTTTCTCTTTTTTCGGGGGGGCAGTACTGGTAGTTGAACCCAGGGCCTTCAGCCTCAGCAGGTTTTGTATTTTTTTATTTGAGACTTGGTTTTATTAACTTTCCCAGGCTACTGTTGAACTTGGAAATCTTGCCTCAGCCTCTCACAGTGTTGGGGTTGCAGGTATATGGCACAGGCTTGGCTACAAGGTATTTTTTTTTTAAGATCTGATAGAGTAAATTAATTTGTTCTTCCTGTCTTTTTATTTTTTTTCTCTTGTCCCTTCCTTTGTAGTAAATTATATTTGTATTTTTATTCATAAAACTTTTTGCTCAGTTTTTCTTGATATTGTTGTAGGGGCTGGTGATATACAGTAGCACAAGCACCTGCCTGGCAAGTGCAAGGTCCTGAGTTCAATTCCCACTACCAAAAAAAAAAATTCACAACTGGATATGGCTGTAATTTTTTTTGTCTTCTTTGCATTTGTCTAGCGGTAAAGACAAGCAAATCTACGTTGGGCCAAACAGATTTTCCAGGTGAGTAAGAGATATTGTTTATAAATGCTTAGCACATAATAGTACTTCTTTCTTTACAAATTGCTTACAGTTTTTGTCGCCTAGTATTTTATTGGTTATGCCTTTAACAGTTGTTGATCTGTGACTTTTACATGTGATACGATACAGCTCACAGCCGGAAGCCAGCACCTTCAAATGAACCTGAATATCTATGCAAATGGATGGGACTGCCCTATTCAGAGTGTAGCTGGGAAGATGAAGCTCTGATTGGAAAAAAATTCCACAACTGTATCGACAGCTTCCACAGTCGAAACAATTCAAAAACTATACCAACAAGAGAATGCAAGGTATAGTGATTGTTGGCTTTTGGTTTTTCAGGGAAAGGATGTACAAAGGATTAGTCACAGAGCTATTGAGATGAGAAAATATTACAAGAATAAAATGATTATTTCTATTTTGAAGTGAAAGAAGATTTAAATGTGACCTTAAAGAAAAATAATTATACTGAAAGGAGAGGATGAGTTGCAAGATGGCTGTCTTAGTTACTTTCCTTGTTGCTGAGTCAAACTACCTGATGCCCAAAGTTGGTTTATTTGGCTCAGTTTGTAGAGGTTTCAGTCCATAGTTGGCTTTCTTCAAGGCAGGGTCTGGTGGCAGGTGGACATCACAGAGGAGAAACTATTTATGGCAGGCAGAAGGCAGTAAGCAGCAAGTGACAAGCAGTGACACTAGCCCTCTTTCTGCCCCTTATATTTTATCCAGGCTGCTTACCCTTAGGCACTCACAGCCTTAGTGGGGTACCCTTAGTCCTTTCCAGAACTATGCCAAACCACTCAGTGTACTAATTTAGCAACCACACACCCTTAATCCCAGCATCACACACTTTAGATCCAGCCACCTCCAAAAGTCTCATCTGTGACTGCTTGAGGCTTTGTAGCATGGGGAGCATGGAGACACAAGCCAGAACAATGGCTTTTCTGACTTCACTGATTTTGTAATTCATAGAATTAGGTATATTAGGGTACTGTTTAAAGATTTGGGGCAGGTTTGGCAGGAGTGGGTAGATCTTTGGTGTTTGGGATGTGTGTGAGAAGTTAGTTTTTATTCACTGCCAGCTTTTCTTACGTAGGAGAGCTGTAACCCTCCAGACCTTAGCGGATACTCTGTTGGGCTCGTATTTCTCATGATAAGAGTATTTGTCTTCAGAGAAATGGTCCCTGAAAAAGGCTTATGTGGCCAAATAACTTTGTAATGGATTGTTCCTGAATACATTTCTCTTATAAATTCACATTATACTTTTCCTTCCGAAAAATCAAATTCACATATTTGGGGGCCTTAATGTGGGCGACTGCATCTAAGAGTTCATGAGTCCTATTGTAATTATAGGATCATAGGGTTACCTACTTAGCTGCATTAACTGCATTTAGGGTATGACAGACTTTCCTACAGATTTTTGGGATTTTTTTTGAGACTTTATTGCTTAAATACTTTTAAATTCTTGGTCATCCTGCCTTAGACTCCGAGGTTCTCTGATTACAGGCATGTACTGCCCTGCTGTACCTGTTGTGTACTTTTTAGAATAAGACAGCATAAAGATGACTGCTGCTGTATTGTAAGGATGATGCAAAAATCAAGGGCCCTTTCATGTTGTTCACAACCTTCTTTCAGGAAAGGAGCAAGGTTACTAAAACATTCTACTTCAGTATGAGCTCTAGGAATAGAGTACCAGAAAAGGGGAGCACAGTGGGGGTGGCGATTCATCTGTGCAATTTAAAGTTTCTGTGGTTTGGTATGGAGTGTATAAATTGTGGTAGGATTTTAATTTAGGAACAGAGAGAAGTTTTGGTTACCTGGGCTTTATTAACTTTTGTCTTTCAGGCCCTGAAGCAGAGACCACGATTTGTAGCTTTAAAAAAACAGCCCGCATATTTAGGAGGGGAAAATCTGGAGCTCCGCGATTATCAGCTAGAAGGTCTCAACTGGCTTGCTCATTCTTGGTGCAAGTAGGTCGAAAATGTGTTTGACGTTTTCTTTACTATTAGGCTTCTGTGTGGTCACTCTGATTACAGAGTGCTGGGCACCCTCAGGGGCCTTGAGAATTTAACAAGAAATACGCTGTATGTAAAATGTATAGAAACTTGGGTGCGTTTGAGAGTTCTGGAAGTATCCTCATTCTCCCTTCAGGCACTTTGTTCTTTTCTGTACTTTTCCTGTAAAACTGCTTATTCTGTGGAATACAATGTGGTGTTCTTCCTTGATGAATTAAATGTCTTATTTTTCTTGCCAGTTAAGTTGCCTTTAACCTATGTATTACTTTTAGGCTTCTTTGGCTCACTAAGTATATATTATACATGTGCAAATCACCAACACCACTTATTTATTCTCAGTGGCTGTATTTTTTTTTTTTTTTTTGGTCTTTTTGAGGAAGGGTCTTGCTATGCAGTTCAGCCTGACCTTGAGCTCACTTTGTAGCCCAGGCTGGTCTCAAACTCACAGTGATCCTCCTGCCTCAGCCTCTAGGGTGCTGGGATTACAGGCATGTGCCACCACGCCTGGCTCAGTGGCCCTATTTTAAAGAAACTTTTAATCATGTTTGCAATCTTATGTCATACCAGATCCATCCCCATCTTCCTACCAGGTTGGCTACTTTTTATTCTCTAAACATACTTCCCTGTATCTATTTTTTTCAGTTTTTTTTTTTATTTCGTATGTTGGACATTTTCTTTTTCTATTAATATCCTCTTGAGATCGAGCTAATTTTTTTAGAGTAGTGTTTCAGAAACTATAGTCAAAGGACTATCTGCTTTTGAGTCTTCAAAGGTGCTTGTTAAAAATAAAGACTCCTGTGCTCTATACCAAATACTTCCATTCCATAGGTCTAGGGTGAGGTTCTAGAAATCTGATGTGCAATCTGTCTCTTGTAGACTGGTATATTTAGTACGAAGCTCTGTGTACCGCGGCGGGTCCAGGGAATAGTGGAGGTAGCTTTAAGGGACCTTGTGGCTGCAGTAGCATGGGATGGATAACTTGAACAAAGCCCATGACTGGCAGGCTGTAGGATTCAGCAGCAGCCATGATAACCAGTCTACTCATGTTTTCTGGTGGGACCCAAGGTTACACGCTGTACACAGCTATAATAAGACTTGCCTTCTGTTAGAGGGGTGATCCTGGGGGAGAAAATATAATTTAGAGCCCTATACGCAGAGTGAAGAACATAGTCTGGTCGGGCTGTTACAGTGATCTGAATCTGGTGTTTACTTACAGATCTCTTGTCATCCACTATATGTGACTTCTAGTTACTTCCTTATGTGGAAGACTTAAATAACTGCAGAGAAGGATACATGTGTTTGAGATTCATACTCATGCTGTTCTGTGCTGTCATTCATTGTAGAGCATTGATGGTAGTACAGTTTATGCATGTACTCATTTTTGATGAGCTAATGATTGTTTTGTTTTGACTTTTTCTGCAGAAGTAACAGTGTAATCCTTGCTGATGAAATGGGCCTAGGAAAGACCATCCAGACCATATCATTCCTCTCCTACCTGTTCCACCAACACCAGCTGTATGGACCTTTTCTTATAGTCGTCCCTTTATCCACCCTCACCTCATGGCAGAGGGAGTTTGAAATCTGGGCACCAGAAATAAACGTAGTGGTTTACATAGGTGACCTGATGAGCAGAAATACGGTGTGTAAACAAAAAACTTGGGATAGAATCTATGTTATAAATGTTTTGGAAATTGATCTAAAGTCTTTTGTAGAATTATCAGTAAAGTCTCTAGTAAAACTATTCTGACATTATTCTGTGTCCCCCAAAGTAGGAGTTTTATATGTAATAAAAATGTATCAGCTATTCTTTCAAAATATGATTACTATTTAAAGAAAAGGAACAGCAGTAGATGAGTGGGATTCTTGCTTCACTAGATTGCAGAACTGTTTTTCCTCACTCCTGTTAGTGCTCCTAAGACTACTTTGTGTAAAGATTATAAAATGGAGTTAATACCTTGTGGAAAGTTAATACTGTTGCTACTTAAACACAGAGAGATTACTGAAAATAATTTGAGTTCTTAGAGTTTGTTGCCTAGTTTCTTGAAGTGAAGTAGCTTAGCTTACAAGAAGGAAATAAAAACAAAGGAAAGTAGTACCTTTCGAAGGCTACAAAAATGAGAATTATTTGTCTGTTACCGAACTTTCATAGTAGATACCTTGAATTTAGTGTACATGCTATAACTCTATATTTGTTTAGCAAATCCTCTTTTGAGTAATGACTGACTTTTTAAAAAAGTGTCCACAATGTACCAAGCCTTTCTGTTGAGTACTTTTATGTATGTTGCCTATAACCTTCATGACAGTCTTCAAAGTTGATGTTAGACTCGTTTTGTTTGCAATATTAGAGATTGAGCAGGCCCTTGTACATATTAGGCATGTGCTCTAACACCGAACTACATCCCCAGGCTTTTAAGGTTGATTGTAATCTTCCCAAACCAGGGTAGCTAGGATAAAACTGGAGTTGGAGAACATAGGTGTATGTGATCCAGAGCTTTGGTTTTTTACCAGCGTATGTAGAAGTTTTCCTGGGAGATAGCTTTATAGTAAGTGCAAGTCATCAGAAATCCTCAGACATTTTTGGTATATGCTAAAAAATATATTTCCTCATGCTTTCAAATTTATTTTTATTAAAACTATTCATTAAAATTAATTCAGTTCCAAGTGTGGTAGCACATGCTTCTAACCCCAGAATTTGAGTGGCTGAGGCATGAGGATCACCACAGGTGTTAGTCCAGGTTGGGCCACACAGTGAGTTTAAGGTCAGCCTAGATTACAAAGCAAGACTATTACCTCAACAGCAATAAAAATCTACAGAACTCTAGCCCTTTTCATTACCCTAGTTATGCATTTCTAGGAATAATAGTAGTTAGCTTTGTTTATTTATTAGTCATTAAAAGAAGGGGGAAAAGCCCATAATCCTAGCACTCTGGAGGCTCGAGGTAGGAAGATTTGAGTTCAAGGCCAGCTTGAGCTATGTAGTGAGCCCTTTGTTCAGAGAGAGATTGATTTCTAGATATGCAAAACAGCGTCCAAAGCAGAAGGCAAACGAAGAAAATCAGTTGAAAAATTGTTGAGTCAGAGACAGTTTCTTGTGGTCCCCAGTACTCCTTTGCTTTGGTCTTACTTGGTTGCTTCTTGCAGGCACTGTCTTATCTCTGAGTTTTGGTATATGTACTGCCAAAGTGAGCACTTGAGCTCTGATGAACTATTTTCCTTGCTTATTTTCTGGGTATACTTAAGTGTGGCTGTGTTAGTTTTATATTCCTTTACAATGACATTTTTAATTATATTTTTATCCTATAAGTCCGTTTTCCTTTTTTCTTGGTGAGCACATCTCTGTTTTGAAATTTCACACCCAGTCTGAGGTTAGGACTTGTTTTGCTTTCTTAAGAAAATTTTAGGGGGGCTGGGGATTTAGCTCAGCGGCAAAGCGCCTGCCTGGCAAGTGCAAGGTCGTGAGTTCGGTTCCCGGTACCGGAAAAAAACCAAAAAAAAAAAAAAAAAAAAAAGAAAATTTTAGGGATTTGGGAGACCCTTTTTAGTTCAAGTCACCAGGGATTAGTTGATTGATAAATGCACTTTCTTGGTCAAATGTGTCTTTGGGTCAGTTTGTTTGAATTCTGACAGTGATGTTTTTATTACTTATTGAACTATATTTTAGCTCTTCCTATATACTTTTGCTACAAGCCATTTCAGAATGTGTAAACTATTCATTAAATTCTAATCAGATTTATTTTTTATTTGGTATGTTTCTATTGCATCTATCACAAGACTTGTATGATATGAGCAGACAGAAGTAGGAATTACGTCTTAATTACATTTTCTCTTACAGATACGGGAGTACGAGTGGATTCATTCCCAAACCAAAAGGCTGAAGTTCAATGCACTTATAACAACATACGAGATTCTTTTAAAAGACAAGGTGTGTAGTTCATTAAATAAAAGACCAAATCATGTCCACTGTGACTTTTTCAAATAGTGAGGGTTGTGCCTTCCACTTGCCATGTTATTTTTCTTACTTTGTTTAAAAAAAGCACATGAACAAACAGATTCCTCAAGGAATGTGGAGGCTAGAACTCAAAAACAAAGCTTTACAACTGGAAAGGAACTTAGATTGCCTTGACCAGTTGAATCAGGGTGGAGGCAAGTAACCATCTGGGATGATCATCACTGGGAACTGGGCTTGCATGCCCTCTTGGGTGTTCACCATTCTGTCATTGTTGAAGCCTTACTGTATGCCGGTTGATGTGCATGGTCTCAAGGAAAAATTAAGCTCTTTAAGCACACCGTTTCTAAGTTTATCTGGTGATAATAAGTGCAAACAAGTGTAATTTGGTGGCTCTTTTGTGCCTCAGGGTACAGACAAAAAAAATTTAAAGGCCCTTTTTTTTTTTTTTTTTTTTTGCTCAGCTTACCAATGTTTGTGTTTTTCAGGGCAGGGGCATGCAATAATAGCTGGTTTAAGAGACCAGCTCCTTTGTGTAGATGCTAATCTGGAATAAACAGAAGAAACCTAATAAGTATGTTAATTCAGTAAAGAATAAATATGCCTCTTTATACCTCTGTGATGGTATTTGTGCAAAGATAATTAACTCTTGAAAGCACTTTGGGTTCCTTCTGACCTGGTGGCTCGTTCTGTTTTGTTTTCACTTTAGACTGTGCTGGGCAGTATTAACTGGGCCTTTCTGGGAGTGGATGAAGCCCATCGGTTGAAGAATGATGACTCTTTATTGTATAAAACTCTGATTGATTTCAAGTCCAACCATAGGCTCCTGATTACGGGCACCCCTCTTCAGAATTCCCTCAAGGAGCTCTGGTCCTTGCTGCACTTTATTATGCCGGAGAAGTAAGCTCCTTCCTGTGTATTTCAAAAGATGCTAGAATGTCTGAAATGCCAGTGAATTTTTTTTTTTTTTTTAATGTTCTAAGTAGACCTCAGGGAAAACAGATGGACTGGTTTGGGGAAAGAAAACAATAAATTGAGGAAGAAATAGTAGAATAAAGTCATTCATAATAAATAGTAAAAGACACAGAAATGAGCTTATTGAGGAGGAAAGCATATTATCTACCAAAATTTTGATTATTAAAGACATTTAGGAAATAATTGTTAGGTAGGAAGCATCATTTTTACTCTTGTTACAGGGTAATCAATATAATTGAGATGAAGTGAGTTATATAATTTGATAATCATTTACAAATCTTTAGATACATGTTTTGGAAAACAGCAGCATCAGCTTCTTTGGTCCTATTCAAATTAAACTATGGAATGCCTTTTAGAAGGATTTTTATAGAGGAGATAATACTCCCATTTCATAAAACTTAGAATTATATGATACCTAGGTTGAAATCTGTGTTTTTTTGTCCCCCACAGCTCCTTCCTTCTCTGAGCAAAACTAGAGGGTTTAATCTCTATGGGAAGGGGAGGGTTGTTCTGCCACTTAAAGTAAAATCTAAATTTACCAATTGGGCAGACCCTGCTCAGTCTGACCCCTTGGCAAGACTTCAACTTGGACCACATGTTCCATTACTCATTATGCTTTAGATATCTGCTGTCTTCCTGTCTCTTACGTGCCAGGCGTTACTCTTCTCTGTCTTGTGACTTGGATTTCAGTAATGGCCAATGATGTTGAATATACTTTCATTTCAGTAGCTATTAATGTATGATTAGTAAAGTGTCTATTCAAATCTTTGCTGTTTCAAAAATTGGATTTTTTATTATGAATTGAGGAGTGTATTTTTTTTAAAATAAAGTTTTCCAGGTAGACATGCATTTTCAGTATATGGTTAGCAACTTGTCCTGCTCTTTGGCATGTTTTTTTCATTTTCTTCTTTTTTTTTTTAATCAGGAATTGAACTCAGGACCTCACACTTGCCAGGCAGGCACTGGGCCACTGAGCTATATCCCTGGCCCTTTTTTATTTTCATTTTCTTAATCTGTCTTTTGAAGAGCAAGTTTTTAACTTTGATGAAGTATAATTTATCAATTTCTTTTTATTGTGCTTTGGACAATATCTAAGATAGATTTGCCTAAGCCAAGGTCACAAAGACATTTTTATTTGTAGAAGTTGTAGCTCTTACACCAGGGCTCTGTTCTGTTTTTGCTGTTGCAGAGGGCTTTGGGGAATTTCTTCTCCCATCAGTTGTTGAATATATTTTACCTGTTGAGTTGCCTTGATTTTTATTGATTATGAAGTATAGCCATAAATTTGTTTTATTATTATTATTATTTTTTTAGATAAGGTCTTACTGTGTAGTTTGGACTGGCCTTGAACTCATAGCAATCCTCCTGCTTCAGCCTCTTGAATGTTGGGATTATGTGCATATGCTGCCACGCCTGGTAGCCATACATTTAATGACGTTTCTAGGCAGTTTTTGTCTCATTAATGCATATTTTTGTCTTTATGCCATTATCATACTATCTTGATTAAATTTAGTTTTATTCTATTTTTTAAAATGGAGAAGGATAAATTTTGGTTTTACTCTTTTTCAAAAAGCTTTACATTTCTATACATTTTTTGGGATTACTTTTTAGACTTCTGTATCCTTTTTGGGGGAAAGAAAAACCTGTAATTTTGATAGACATTGTGTTGAATTATATATCAATTAAAGGAGAATTAGTAATTAATAATATTTAGCCTTCTAATCCACAATTATTGAAAAATTTCTCCATGTATTTAGGTCTTCTATACTTTTTTTGAAATAGTGTTTAGTAGTTTTTAGTGTGTTTTGCATTTTGTAAAAATTTATTTCTACTGTTTTTAATTCTGATTATATTTTAGGTGAAATTGTTTCCTTAATATAATTTCATATTATTCTAGAGTATAGCATAGTAATGGTGAACCTTTTAGAGCTTCTAATGATAACAAATAGCCAGCTGCAGCATGTGTACCATAGGTTCGCCACTACTGATACGGAGCTTCAGTTTTGTATGTTAATCTTGTATTTTGCAGACTTCATAAATATTTTGTTTTCACTTTTTCATGTGTTTTAATATTTTCTATATATCATCATATTTTGTGCATGTACAGTACAGCCTGCTATTGCTTTTCACTCTGGTTACTTTTTAATACTTTCTTGGGTTATTGATCGATAACTAACCCACAACCTGCAGACCAACTTTCCTTGGTTTATTGTATTGGCTAAACCTCCATGCTGGGTAGAATTGGTGGAAACAGGATGTTTAGTATAGATTGTTTTGTTTTGTTTTTTTGAGACAGGGTCTCACTGTATAGCCAGGCTGGACTGGAACTTGTAATCCTCCTGCCTTTGCCTCCAGGCTGCTGAGATTAGAGGGATGTACCATCATGCACCACTAGTACGGAGTTTTTTAGATACCTTTTATCATGTTTTCTTCTATTTTAATTTTTGAGAGCTTTAATAATGAATGGGCATTGGTTTTTTTTTTTTTTTTTGTCTGTTTTGAGACAGGGTCTCACTATGCAGTTCAGACTGGCCGTGAGCTCACTTTGTAACCTAGGCTGGTCTCAAACTTGCAACAATCTTCCTGCCTCAACCTCCTGAGTGCTGGGACCACAGGCGTGCACCACCACACCTGATGGGCATTGGTTTTTGTAGATTCTTTTTTGAGTCTGTTGTGATAACAAATGTCCTTTATTTTACCTATATGATAGAAGGTATATTAGTTGTTGGTTAGATGGTCCACCAGACTTTCATGTGTAGCATAAATGTAATTTGTTCATGATGTTCAGTCTATTTTATGTATTCCAGGGTTCAATGAACATGTTGGAAAATACTTACACTTCTGTGTTTTCGAGGGTTTTTAGTGGGAGGATGTCTCTCTGTGTGTATTTCTGTGTGTGTGAGAAAAAGTGGGTATGAATATGAATAGATAATAGGAAAAGATCCTGTGGTTTTATCAGGGTCATAGAATGGACTGGAAAATGTGCCTTTGTTGTCTGAAAGTGTTCTAAGTTTGGTGGATTTTTTTTTGTTAAATATTTGTTTGAATTCACAAGTATAGTCATTTGAACCTTCAGTTTTTTTTTGTGGGGAAATTTTTTAATGACCTACTTCAAGTTATAGGTTATTCAAATTTTTTATGTGTTTTCCACTCAGTCTTGTTAACTTACGTCTTTCATGGAGTTTGCCCATTGCCTCTAACTTTCTGACTGTTTACACTGTATTCCCTTCTAATCTTTTTAACTTTCAAAGGATCAGTAGTGGTCAAATTCTTTTTGGTTTTGGTATTTTTGTAATTTCTTTTTCTTGGTAAATTCTAGTTGAAGTTTTATAAATTTTATTGGTATTTTCAAAGAACCAATCTTGGTTTAAATCTGTTTAATTTCTTATTTCCTTTATTTCTGTTCTCATCTATTATTTTCTTCCTTGGATCCTTCTCATTGCATTTTCTTTTTTCCTTAAGATGCAGCTTGATTATTGATATAAGAGCTTTTCTCTAAACTAGGTATTTAAATGTGTAAGTGTACTATCCTTACACACTCCTTTAGCTGCATCCTACAGATGTTGATATCTTAGTTTTCTTTTTTTGTTTGTTTTTGTTTTTCTTCCAGTGTCAGGAATCGAACTCATGACCTTGCGCTTGCCAGGCAGGCACTGTGGTGCTGAGCTAAATCCCCAGCCCCAATATCTTAGTTTTCATTCAGTTTCATCTATTTTCTAATTTCTCTTGTGTTTCTCCCTGAATGCATGGGTTTTTTACATGTGTGTTATTTAATTGCTATGTATTTGGGGATCTTCCAAATGTTTTGTAATAGAATACTATTTCAATTTTGTCTTAGAATACTTACTTTAAGTGAGTTTTTTTGGCTTACTACATATCCTGCTATGTTTTTTATTTGGAGAACGTTAAGCGTGCACTTGCATAATGTGTATTTTGTTGCATACAGTGTTTTGTAAATGTCCTTAACTCAGCTTTGTTATTCATGTCTTTTTTTTTTTTTGCTTCTTATCTAGTTCTACCAAGTATTGAAAGTGAAATATTTTAATTTTTAAATGTAATTGTTGATTGTTTCAGTTTTTCCTTCATGTATTTTGGGTTCTACAACTGTTATATGCTCATGGTGTATTGACCTTTTTATCATTATGAAATATCTTACCTTCTAGTAAATTTTTACTCCTTTATTATTACAGCTTATTTTTATTATAGCTCTTCATCTGTCATGGTTACTGCCTGTTACTACTGCTTGCATAGTACACTGTTTCCCATCATTTTCTTTTCAACCTATTTCTTTCTTTGGGTTTAAATGTCATTGGATGTGCCTTTTTTATACAGACCATCAGTTTGTGCCTTTTGATGGGAGTATTTAATCTATTTATCTTTAATATAACTAATGATATGGTTAGATCAGTTTCTCCCATTTTGCTGTTTGTTTCCTTTATGTCTTACATCTTTTTTGTTCCTACTACTAGGTTTTTTTTGTTTTTTTTTTTTTTCCTTTCTAATACAGACTTTGGCCAGGCGTGGTGGCGCACGCCTGTAATCCCAGCACTCGAGAGGCTGAGGCAGGAGGATCGTTGTGAGTTTGAGGCCATCCTGGGCTACAAAGTGAGCTCAAGGCCTGCCTGAACTGCATAGCGAGACCCTGTCTCAAAACAACCAAAAAAAAAAAAGACTAAGACAGACTTTGTAGTCTAGGGTGGCCTTGAACTCCTGTTTGTTCTGCCTTAGCCTCTGTAGTGCTGGGATTATAGGTATATGAAACCCCCTAACCTATTTCTTCTTACTGCCTTCTTTTGTTTTGGCAAATATTTTTTGTGTGCCCTTTGATTTTTCTGTTCATTAATAGTTTCATTATTTTAGAATTATTTTCATACTGTTTTCTCTAGAGATTATGCCTCTGAACTTACCATAGTCTTTTTCATGTTAGTAATGTCTCAATTCTGGCAAAATACAACTTAGTTCTGCTGTAATTCCATTTTTACCTCTCTCTGTATTTTATAAATCTCACAATACATTGATTTAATTGTTTTATAGGGGCTTGTCTTTTAAGGAATCTTAGAAAATTGAACAACATGTTTATGCTGTCTTCTGTTATTTCCAATGATCTTCGTTTCTTCCTGTGGATTTAGACTGCCATTGAGTGTCACTTTCTTTTAGCCCAAAGAGTTTCCTTTAGTATTTCTTGTAGGGCAGATCTACTAGCAGCGGGTTGATTTCTTTGTCTGTGGCTATTCTGTTTTTACCATTACTTGTGAAGGATAGTTGAAGACTTCAGAAGGTGGGTAGAGAAACTTGACTGTGCTGTCCTCCCTGTAGCTGTGACGAGAAGTGGATTAAGCACCCTGCCTTCTCGCTTTCCCTCTCTCCTTACTTCGTGTGTTTCTGGGAGAAGGGCCCCTCCTGCATCCCTTCTTCCCCTGTCTTCTCTTAGCCCAAAGTTGCTCACAGGATGTAGTGGGAACATACATGTTTGCTTGTGTAGAGATAGGATGAGGAGTATACTGGCTGCAGAGGTGGATGGTAGGCATTTTGGCTCATAGTTTTTGTCTGCTGTTGAGCAGATGTCACATTCCACCCAGCATTTTAGAGGAAAATTACAGATTCTGCTTTCATAATTGTAGAGGGGTTTTGAATTACTTTCTCTCTTAGATATGATTATTCAAATAGTGTCCTCCAAAGTTTTCTTCATGGTCAGTCGAATCATTTATTGAATCATACATTAGAGTTAGGCATGCGGAGTTTATTTTCTTGATTAGAGAAAATCTTTATTTCTTGAAAATTGTGTTTTTAAAACACTGAGGTAACATTAATGTTGTAAAGTTCTTAAGGTCTGAAAAATTAAAAAACCTGTTTCTGTTTTTGTGAGACAGCTGTTAAGTACAGAAGTCCATAATGGGATATATGTAAAAATAATGCATCTCTTTGTATGGTATGTTACTGCACATTCATTACACTGCCTTACACCTTTTGTACGTGTAAATTTGTATCTTTTGAAGAGGATAGCACATTTTCCTTAAAGATTGTGATAGTAAATATTTTGGGGTTGGAGGCTGAGTCTTTATCACAACTATTCATCTCTGTTCTTAGAGAGATAACAGCCACAGACATTTCATAAAATGTGGGTCAGTGTGTGTATCTCAAGAAATGGTGCCTCAGATTAACTCCTTTAATTCAGTATTACAGTAGGCAGTGAACGTAATTGTTCCCTAAACGAGCAGGAAGTAAGTCTTGTAGCTAGGGGCTGGGGATTTAGCTCAGTGGCACAGTGCCTGCCTGGCAAGCGCGACATCATGAGATCGATTCCCGGTACCAGGAAAAAAAAAATCTTGTAACTAAAGTATACATTTGACTTTTCAAATTAGTATGGTTATAATTATGTTACGTAACTTAAATGGGCTTCTTGAAATTGCCTTCTGAGTATTTAGAAATAGTCGGATGCACTTCAGACATTTTGTGTGGGAGGTGTCATCCCCATTATTGGTACAGTTCACTTCACGTTCTTCCTTTCAATCCTTTTATTTGCTTTAATCCCTCCTTTATTTTATGTTCTTAGAATATTTACCTTAGGTTTATCAGACTATATTCCCTATGAAGATTTTGGGTCTGTATCATTTATTTACTTCCTTGAAGATGCTTGTTTCAGGCATTACCAGGCATCCCTAAGGCTGGTGCTGATCCACTTTGCCATACTTGATGAAGTGCTTGCTCATTTTTGAGTGGAGAAATGGCAGTGGACTGTTGAGGCCTTTTGTCCATTATTAGGTTTGGCATGTATTCACTGGCTTTTAATTTTGCCAGAGCATATGCTTTGAGTCTTGCATAGGTCTAGGCAGTAGTGGTCCTGCGAGGTTTTCAGCCTCATACTTGACAGAGCTCGGCAGAGCAGGGCCACTGGTGTTAGAGCACCCCAGTGCAGTTAGAGCTTCCTGGTCTTTCCTCGGCTAGTGAACAGTGTGTCCCTCCTATAGAGCTTCTCTCTGTGCACAGAACTCAGTTTTGTTAAGGGCTTCATTGGCTTTGTAGCAGCAAAGACAAAGCCATATTTCCTAATCTGCATGTATTCAAATTTCTCTCATTTTTTATTTTTGAATGTAATCTTATAATGTCCCGTTCTGGACTTTTACCATAGATCTTTTAGTGAATGGAGTGTGGTTGAATTAAGATTTATACATGAAAATCTGTAGAGTTTAGATAGAAATATTATGAGTAATATGTTTATAAGTCCACTGATTAAATTCATACCCCCAAGTTCTAGAAAAGTTGGATCACTTACTGAATTTCTTGTTTGGGTTATAGTCTTATTTACTGTCATTATAATATATTAACTTTTTAGTGTGTGAAGTGAAGAGTATTGTTGGACGTTATACTATATAACTTTTACCACAGAGCAGAGACAGTTGAATAATACTGCCACTAATATTCTTTTACTCCTAAGTTTTATTTCCCCAAGCAATTAGAGATTGTTAAGATGTAGTTTATGGGGCTGGGTGTGGTGGCATGTGCCTGTAATCCCAGCACACTGGAGGCTGAGGCAAGAGGAGTGCTTCAGGCCAGCTTGAACTACATAGTGAGTTCAAGGCCAGCCTGCAATACATAGTGAGACCTTATTTCAATAAGTATGCTGGGGGGGATTTATGATATTTTTTTGCAGAACATTTGATAAGAATAACTTTCCTTACACTAATTGCATGGTGTACTGAAATATTTTATAAATGGATTCAGTTGGAGACTTGGAAACCTGCTGTAATCCAGTATAGACTGATGATATTGATTCAGTTGATTGTCCCTGTTCTGTTTGTCCTCCTCTTTTATTCAAGAGCCTAGTGATAGATAAGTTTTGTCTTTCCTTGTGGGAAAAAGGTCATTTTTCTGCACATATTTTTCCCCCATTTAATTCTTTGTAAAAGATAACTTAGGTTTTTTTTTTTTGATAATTTAGTTTTAAAAAATAATTTTTTTCTGTGTAACTCAGCAGCACTATGCCTGTTTTGTGCCTAGGTTTGAGTTCTGGGAAGACTTCGAAGAAGACCATGGAAAAGGGAGAGAGAATGGCTACCAGAGTCTTCACAAGGTGCTGGAGCCTTTCCTTCTCCGGAGAGTCAAAAAAGACGTTGAGAAGTCCCTTCCTGCCAAAGTGGAGCAGATCCTCAGGGTAGAGATGTCGGCCCTTCAGAAACAGTATTACAAGTGAGTTTGTTCTTGTCATGAAACCAGAGGGAATTGCCACCACTGCTGTAAAGCCATTAGATAATGCATAAATAATCTTTTTTTTGGGGGGTGAAGCCTCAACACTGAAGTTTGTAACTGGTCAGAAAAAATGAGTTTTATTGTTCTTATGATTGAGTTTTATTGTTCTTTTTTATTTGTATGAGAATTTACACACAATTTTCATTATTAGGTGGTCTAAAGTACCCTTTTAATTCTTAGTGCTAACGCCCCTCTCAGTAAGCAAACATCTGCTTATTTGTGAGTGTGTCTTTTCTGCCTTTCAGTCAGTCATTGCTTAGTCTTCTGCCGTGCTCCCGGCTGGCACTCAGCTCCTGTGAGTATGAAGCTGAGTGGAGCACGTCCCTGCCAGGGCCTTACTGTGTGACAGGAGAGACAGACCAGGGGCAGGAGGTGCTTAACAAGGGCGGCGGTGCAGGGGCCTGTGAAAGTTCAGAAAAAGAAGTGCTCACTGTGCTGCAGGGTGAATATTCGTTCGTTTCTCTCTGGCATTCCAACGGTACAGTTGAAATGCAGGTTATATCATTGGTTTAGGTTTGCAATTTTAAAATCAAGCTGGGCTGGATCACTGATGTGTGCCACTGTATCTAGCCCTCATTTAATTAATTTTTTTTTTTTTATTTTGAAAACATTCACAAATGTACAAGAACAGAATAGTCTGTATGTACTCAGCCATAATCTGCCTTTGACAGTTACTGACTCATGGCCATAATTTGTTTATATATTTTCTTGAATCCCACTTCCCACCAATTGTATTGAAATTTATCCTGTGTACATATCATAGATGTTTTAGTGTATATCTCAAAAGATAAGGACTTTAATTTGCTAATAATAATAATACTATTATCACACCTAAAAAAAATTCTCTACAGTTTTTATTTTGGG